GACGCGCTGGGACTCCCTCAGTGGCGCCCGGGGAGGGTGTCTGAGCCGCCCCCCCGCTCCCCCGCAGCGCTGCCCTTCGAGGTGGTCTGGGACCTCAGCTTCTGCGCCTCCCGGGTGACGCTGGTGGACGTCCTGAGCGAGTTCCCGCACGACGTCGAGTAAATCTACAAGCCCCTCTGCGTCCCTTTGTCGCGCTGCAACGGCTGCTGCAACGACGAGAGATTGGAGTGCGCCCCCGTGGAGACGCGCCCCCTCGACCTGCAGGTCTGTGAGCGGAGGGGCCCCGTGTGTTTCCTGGTCCCCCCCCCGCAGTTGTGGCCCTCCCCCCCTCCAGGCCCTGTCCAGCTGGTCAGAGCTCCGCAGGAGTCCCTGTTCTTCCTGTGCCAGCAGTGTTCCCTCTAAGCTGAGTTAGTGCGAGCTAGCTCAGTTTTTTAGCCTCCAGCTCACCCATTTTTGCCTTAGCTCCGGAAGGAGGGCTCCGGGGCAAACGAATGTGTGCAGCGGCCAAACCGCTGGCTCACAACTTTCATGCTGGTAGCTCACAAAGCAGAATTTTTGCTCACAAGACTCCACAGTTTAGAGGGAGTAGTCCGGCCCAGAGCAGAGACTCTTGCAGAGAGGCACTCGGCCCTCTTCTTTGAGGCCGGGCCAAGAGAGAGGATGAATGTTCGGGTCGCAGGCCAGGCAAGACGACCCCGTTTCCCAGGAGAGACGGCGCTGCAGAGACTCATGCAGAGGCACAGGGGCAGACTCCTCTGGGAGTGGGTATTTTGGCTTCCCGAGAGCCTTTAGGTATTCCTCTTCAGGATGACTGGAGCGCTGTGCTGTAGGGTGCCAGGAGCCCTTCAGAACCAGAACTGCCCTGCCGGGTCCCCGACTCCCCCGCTGCCAGGAGGAACCAGGGTTTGGCCAGCGGTGAAGAAGAGCTCCCAGCGGAGGGTCGGCAGGGGGGACTCCTGGGACGGGATCTTCACGGGAGACCTGGTGGAGAGAAGCCCGAGGGCGGGTGGGCTGACCCCATTGGCCTGGCTTGGCCTGGCCTCTGACCGGGTGTGGGGAGTTCCAAGGGGAACAGAACCGGGCAGGAAGATCCACCCCCAGAGGCAGGCCCGTAGCTACAGTGGGGGGGGGGCATATTGGGGCTAAGCCCCCTTCATTTACTGGCAAGGCCCCCACAACTTCCCATCTAGCCCAGGGCCCCTGAGTGGCAACAGGTGCTTGGGAGGAGAAGGTATTCCTTCGGTTCGATAAGCCAGTGCCCCCTTGGGAAATTAAGTGCTCCCCCGACTTAAAAAATCCTGGCTACCGGCCTGCCCAGAGGGAGCCCGTCGAGGTCCCTGGCTGGAGGGGGGCAGACTAGGTCCTCTTGGGCCTTAGAAATGGAGGGGAGCTCTCTCTTGCCGGGGGGGGGCAGGGGAGGAAGAGGGTCTTTTTGGTGGAGGGTGCTCCGAGGTCAGACTGGCGGGCCGGGGCCGGGTGGTGGGCCAAGCTTGCCAAGTCTTCTACTCTGCCCCCCCGGCAGGTGATGCGGATAAGCGTCCTCCAGCGCACAGCCGAGCAGGTGGTGCTGACGTTCATGGAGCACATGCGGTGCACCTGCCGGTGAGCGGGGGGGGTGGTGGGTGGGCGGGCCTGCTGTGGGGAAGGAGAAGGAGCAGGCGTGGTGGGAGGCAGGCGGGCGGCCCCGCTCTGAGCCGGGGCTTGTGAGCCGTTGGCCCTGAACCCATTTCCGGCACTAGCGCATGGCCTCAAAGGCATCTCTGTGAAAAAAGACGCTGATACCGATACACAAAGAACTCTTGAGGCATCAAACCATGTCAATAAGTGGGACAGTTCTCTCCTGAGGTGAAGAGGTATGGAGAAAAATAAACGGAGGATCCGGATACTGAGAACTCCGTTTCGAAGAACTTCCTCGGTAACTGAAACAATAGATCTTCAAAAGATCGGTTCTATGCACTCTTGTGAGCTGCGGCAAACGGTATCTCGTTGGTGGGCAGTTATTTACAGCACATCTCTAGAAAGGCTTCTACCAAAGCTTTGCATCACCAACCGAGGAAGTTCTTCGAAACTGAGTTCTCACTATCCGGATCCTCCGTTTATTTTTCTTCATACCTCTTCACCTCAAGAGAGAACTTTTCCACTTGTTGACAGTGTTTGATACCTCAAGAGATTACTTTCCTACTTTAGACATTGTTTATATGGGATTATATTTTGTATTGGGATTATTACTCAGTTACTTCTGCCTTCGGACAGAAGATATAGGACAATTAAAGCAAGGGCAAATAGATTAAAAAATAGTTTTTATTCGAGAGCTATTATTGCCTTAAATGCTGTATGAAATTGGAATTTGGGTAACCTTAAGGGAGTTACGGGACAGTTGTGAATGGTGTGTGAGTGTATATGAATATTGTTGTAGATCACCGAAATGACTGCATCTTTAATTTCGTTGTACTATGTACAATGACAATAAAGTATATTATTATTATTATTTTGTGTATCAGTATCATCGTCTTTTCCCACACAGATATCTTTCTTCTTTTGTATCCTTAAATGCATCTGGGCATGTACAGAGTGTCTTTCTACAACCAGGCCTTGCCTCGCTGGGATCCAGATGCAAAGCATGACCAGCCCTTAGGGCAGCCACCTCCAGGTTGGGGAATTCCTGGAGATTTGGGGGTGGAGCTTTGGGGAGGGTGGTGTTTGGGTCCACCCCCTGAAGCAGCCATTTCCACCAGGGGAATGGGTCTCTGTTGTCTGGAGAACAGTTGTAATAGCAGGAGATCTCCAGGTCCCACCCAGAGGTTGGCAACCGCACCAGCCCCAATACAAGCCTGAGGCTTCCCCTCAATTAAATACTCAGAGCAAACTGAGGGTCTCACTTTCACTGTGAATCTTTCGGAGGCAGCTGGAAACGGCTTTGTTTAGGGCTGTGTTTTGTTCAGTTTACCAGCAATCCCGAATTGTGATCTTAATTTTTTTTAAAATGTTTTTCATGTATCTTATTTTGTGTTTTTTTTCTTATGTTGTGAGCCTCCTTGAGCCCCCGCGCGTCTAAATAAATAAACAGCTACTGACGCAACCCAAGTAAAGGGTGGGGGGATAAAAAGGTAAAGGTTTCCCTTGCTCGAATGCCAGTCAAATCCGACTCTATGGAGCGGTGCTCCTCTCTGTTTCCAAGCCAAAGAGCCAGCGCTGTCCGAAGACGTTTCCGTGGTCATGTGGCCAGCATGACTAACTCCCGAGGTGCACGGAACGCTGTGACCTTCCCACCAAAGCGGTACCTATTAATCTACTTGCAATTTCTTGCTTTCGAATGGCTAGGTTGGCAGGAGCTGGAACTAGAGACGGGAGCTCACTCCATCACGCGGCAACTCGGGTCTCGAACTGCTGAACGACCGACCTTCCAGTCTGCAGCTCAGCTCTTAAGCACTTGAGCTACTTAAATAAATAAATAAATAGCTACTGACGCAACCCAAATAAAGGGGGAGGGGAAATACCCTACAGTTTATAAACAGTAGCCAATCCAGAGAAAGTTAATCACACCCACATCCTGTTGAATGGGAAATCCCAACTGACCGAGTCCCATTGATCTCGATAGCCCTGAGGAGTCACGCACATTCTCCCAGCCGGGGCCAATAACTAATTTGTAAACCATGATTGTCTTGGTTTTCTTTGTTTGGAAAAGAAAAGTTAACCAGTTTTGCTGTATAATTCTCGAAACGTTAACGGAAGTATCATTTCGACTTGAGAACTTATCGATTCGCAATGCAATGTTTATAAAGGTCTACAAATGCACGTGCTTTCTGTTTTAGGCCTTCCAATTTTATGGCCACAATAAAACATTTAGTTTGAAGAAGTAAGATAATAATAATAAATTATCAGTGGAGC